CAAAGCTGCTTAAAATGATTCAACATCCCAAGCAGGATTTTTTTTTCAGGAAGGTGCCTGTCCTGTGAATTGTGGGACCCGCAGAGAGAGAGAGAAGGGCACGTCCAGGTTCAAGGGATGATACAAAATGGTTCAGCAAGTTTGATTCTACCGGTAGTCCTCAACTTACAATGGTTCAGTAGTGACCGTTCAAAGTTACAACAGCACTGAGACAAGTGACTCATGACCATTTTTCACACTTACAACCTTTGTAGCATCCCCATGATCACGTGATCAAAATTCAGGTGCTTGGCAACTGACTCATACTTACGACCGTTGCGGTGTCCCAAGGTCACGCGATCCCCTTTTCTAACCTTTTGACAAGCAGAGCCACTGAACAAACCGTGTTACTCACTTATCAACGGCAGTGATTCACTTTAACAACCGTGACAAGGTTGTAAAGTGGGGCAAAACTTAATAAATGTGTCATTTAACAAGAGAAATCTTAGGCTCAATTGCAGTTGTAAGTCGAGGACTCCCTGTATATAGTTTGGATGAGTTTAAGAACTGGGATATTCTACTTCTCTTTGGATGTTTAAAGAACGTAAAAAGCTTAAGGAATAATGATAGAAGAGCGATCACTGTAAGCTGCATCGTTTTTGTTTTGCACATTTTTGTTTTGTTCTGTACCTGAAGTGAGCTCTAGTCTAAAAATGCCACAGGTACTTTCTATGAAAAGGCCACATTAGTCTTCGCTGCCTGTGCCATAACAGCATGTCTCTTCCTTTGGAATTAGTCGGCAATCTGTTCTCCGGGTGTATCTTTGGCAGTGGGTGTGAACGCATGTAAGCATGCTTTATAGCTTCAGTCATTTCAGCATCATTGATGTTCTGCAGCCCAACTGAAATAAATAGGTGGAATGGGGAAAACAGTCTAACAGAGTTGGAAGGGACCTTGGAGGTCTTCTAGTCCAACCCCCCCCCCCCCTGCTGAAGCAGGAAACCATTTCAGGCAAATGGTGGTCCAATCCAGGGGTGGGATTCAATTTTTTTAACAACCGGTTCTGTGGGCGTGGCTTAGGTGGTGGGCGTGGCTTGGTGGTCATGTGACTGGCTGGGCGTGGCCAACTCAACTTCACTCACATTGAGGCACACATCTCCTCGCCTGGCCTCTCATGACTGTGGGGATGCTGCAACAGTCGTAAGTGTGAAAAACGGTCATAAGTCACTTTTTTCAGTGCCATTGTAACTTTGAATGCTCACTCCACACAAGCAAAGTACCAGCAAAGGAGGAAAAAAAAACCCAGAGATGTTCCTGAGACAGGAAGTCTAGTCCTGCCAAGAATGTAAAAAGGGTTAATGGAGAGGCAGTTTCTGTAAGCAACACCAGAATGTTTCCTTCCTGCCTTCCTTACAGGATTAGGCCAGTAATTTCTTCTAACAACCGGTTCTCTGAACTGCTTAAAATGTTAACAACTGATTCTAGCGAATAGGTGCGAACTGGTAGAATCCCACCCCTGGTCCAATATCTTCTTAAGAGGCAGGGGTAGACCACGATGCTGGATCCTCAATGATCGACTGTGCCCCCCCCAATTCAGATTTTCCTTCCTCTGAAGCCTGTTCTTTTACAAATCTTGGGGTATCCTCCAGCTTTCCCGACTTCTAATGAGGGAGCTTTTTTTAAAAAAAAATCCATTTTGCATCTGTGCTCACTATATTAAAACTACAAACGCAAGTAAACAGCTGAGCTACAAATACCTAGCAGAAAGCAAGAGGCAAGGAAGGATGTCAAAAAAAATCCAGGAGACTTCCTCATATGCTGAAAGAAACCAGACAGAAGCAACTCTACATGCAGGTCATTCAACAAGCAATTTATCCACGGACACTTCCACTTCATCCATTAACCCTTTTCATTGGTCATATCTGAAGGGAGCAATGAAAAGTCTGGGTTGGGAAAAAATTTTCTTATAGAAAATTTCTGCAAAAAAAGGTATATTTTTGGACAACTGTCACATGAGGTACCTCTGTTTAAGTTTTCACAATTTTCATTGCTAATATCCTTGGTTCTTGCCAGCATAATAATTCTCTTTAAATGTATTTGTTTTGAATCATTTCTCTGCAGGACAATAAATTCTTCATTGCAATTGCTGGTACATTTGTGTGCTTAGTGTTTATGTGTGTGGAGGATCAAAATAAATTTATTTTGTGAATCTGTTGTTTCTGCACCTTAATTTCATTGATTGTAAGCATTTCTGTAAAACTACAATTGACCTGCATATCTTGTAGGAATGATGAATTTATAATTGAAAAGGGAAGAAATAAAATAACAAATTGCAGAGATGGAAGAGGTGAAGACAAGGCCAATCATGAATGATCCAGGGGTCAGTCCTTTTTGAAGAAAGATTACTGTTTTTGGCATTATCTCATGAAGATGAAAATAAGGAATTTGATCAACATTTAAGAAATGTATTTTTAGTGTAAGAAAAATTGACAATTTTAAATGTTATACGGTCTTTTGTAAGGCTAGGATTTGGGGTCACACAATGAAATTAATTCAAAGTAAATTTGAAAAAGACAAAAGGACACTTCACCCAATGTATATTGAGTTGTTCGGTTTTCCCCCCAGATGTTTGATACTTGGAAATGCATTTAATTTGACAACCCTGGAAGGTCTACCTAAACTCTTTAAGATAGTTCTCGTAACAGCAGTGCCACCTAGTGAGGATAGTTAGAATCACCACTCCAATATCTATTTTCCCGATTTCTTTTCCTTGTGATGTACTGCAATTTGTAAGACCTGGAGTTTGAACAGAAACAATTTGATTGATCATCCAGAGTGTTCAGTATTGCCCTGAGGTATTGAAGGAACTGATAGCTCTACCTATCAGTTATTTATTTTGAAGGTGGAAATAGACAAACAGGGCAAAAGTGAGGATGGGATGGTGCTCACCACTCTCTTTGCCACTTTTTTTTTTTTTTTAATTTCTCCTGCGTCAACATTTGGAAGGATCCTTCAGCTCCAAACAGTCCTTCTTGGCAGACCATTTTTGACCCAGAAGTTGGTGGAAATCTAACACAATTCAATGATTTTTTTTCTGCTCCAGTTTTTTCTCACATACCAGAGAGCTCCAATGGCCCATTTTCTATTTAGCAGATTTGCTTCAAATAAATCACATCTTAACAGTATAAGCCTTTGGGACCCTCTTCTTCCATCTTCACCTCCTGTTTTTTACTGGTGGAATCTGGCTTTATAAAACCACATCAAGAACAAATGTTCCTCTGTGTGCTAAACTCCAAGGAGGGGAATTCAATTATGCCATATACGTTTGTACTGTGCATAAACACTATATTTGGCACCTATCGTGTTTAATAATAACAGTGGAGAGCTGTTGGGCTTGATTGCAATCTTAGTTCTAACAAAATGGCTCATAAACATTTGGGTTCTTTTAAATCAGGGGTGTCGAACTCAAGGCCTGCAAGCCAGATGTGGCCTGCAAAGTGCTTAGATTTGGCCCGCAGGGCCACCTTGGAAACAGCAAAGGACCAACCCCTAGTGCCTGTGCCGGCGAAAATGGAGCTCGGGAGGGTTGCACGCGGCCCCCTTCCTGGGCTCCCTTTTCGCTGGCAGAGGGCTAGCCAAACAAACTAAAAAGAAAACAAAAGGAGAAATGTTTTTCTCCTTTTGCATTTGAGCATGCAAGAAGGGACAGGAAAGGGGAAAGGGAAAGAGGAAAGAAAAAGATGGGAAGAGAGCAAGGAAGGAAAAATAAGGAAAGGGCAAGGAAGAAGGAAGGAGAAGGAAGGGGAAAGGAAAAAGAAGAAAAGGGAGGAAGATTATAATGAGAGTGAGAGAGGGTCTGGGGGAAGTCCTGCTTTAGACTTAGCCACCACAGGTGGCCCTGACATGAAGGATGTGGAGCTGGCCACACCTAACCTGGCCCTGCCCGCCCGCTCCCCGCCTGAAGTTAAACACAACCCTGATGCAGCCCTCCATGAAATTGAGTTGGACACCCCTGTTTTAGATGAAGGAGGCTTTGAAAAGTTTAATTTATTTCCAGTCCATGTAATACCTTAAAACTTGTATATGAGGACATAGCATATTACATTATAATTACTAACAGTTGTTATTCTGGACTTTATCAAAAGCAAACATCAATTGCTAATTTCCTCCTTGCCCACTTTTTCAGTCATTCTAGAAATTGGGGCTACTTGGTCTAGGTGGCCTTAAATGCCTTCTGGACTGCAGTCTTCACGGTAGATTGAGGAGGACAAGGATAATAGAAATAAGGAGAAATTTTCTGACAGGGAGAGCAATCAACCAATGGGACAGAAGTTGCCTTCAGAAGTTGTGGGAGCTTCATCACTGGAAGGTTCCAAGAAGAGACTGGACTGGACTGCCATCTGTCAGAAATGGCGTAGGGTCTCCTGCTTGGGCAGGCGGGGTTGGACTAGATGACCTACAAGGTCCCTTCCAACTCTGTTAAATTTGTTATTTATACTTAGATTCACCCTGATGAGCTGATAGCCAATCATATAAATGGCACTTCATCTAGAGGATTCCAACTCTCCTTTAAAGAAACCTCCTCTTATAAAATGTATATAATGCATAACAAAGCTATCCACAGAGGATATTCAATGGTATTTAAGAAGCTAAATAGACATTCAGAACAAAAAGAGAGGATGGTTAGCTCAGGGGCAAGTCCAGGGACCTTTTACAATTCGCTATTACGTTATCAATGGTGGCTGGAACTGTTCACTGTAGAAATCAAGCAACTGAGATGGCTGTAGTTTTAGTCACAATAAGCCACTGTTTAATTGTGGCTTCTGAACCAATTACAGAATTCACTTAAAATGCTATGCCCAAACCAAACAAATGACAGGCTTGGTATGATCTATGAATCAGACCACTGAGATTAAAAATTGAAATACACAGACAAGCTAAGGAATGAGTTTTGCCTACTTTAGACTTGGACATTACTCTCATACCTCCGCAAATGTGACCAAAGGAGGCTACAGTATAAATAAAATTCATGGTGAGTCTTTACTTGTTACACGAATGGAACTAAGTACATCACAAGATTTCATCACCAGCAAGTTCTTCTACATACAAAATGGTAAACATTACACAAACTATCCAGAGCTTCGTATTAATCTAAAGCAGGGGTGTCCAACCTTGGCAACTTTTAAGACTTGTGCACTTCAATTCCCAGAATTCTTCCATAGCAGGCTAGGGGATTCTGGGATTTGAAGTTAACAGATCTTAAAGCTGCTAAAGTTTGGATACCTCTGATCTAAAGCCTATCAGTGTTGTTATGACATAAACTTTGCTAGTAGAGTTCATGATATTTATTATTTGGCTGAAAAACTTTCCAATTTGACTTGGCATTGTTGAACTTATTCTCTTCTGAACTTCACCAAACACTGTCCTTTTGATCCTTCTGCAGCTTCCTTGGTTGACTTCACTCTCTAATCTGGAAAAAAATCCTAATATGAAATTCCCCTCATGAGGCCTTCCACTGTGATTTGAGACTAATTAGAGAGCTGGAGGGGACCACTTGAAAGAAATGCAATAGAAACTGGACTGCCGTTTCTATTGTATGTCTTTCTTTAAGTGGTTCCCTAAACCACTCAAAGTCCACTGAAAATACAATGACTGTACTTATTGAAAGACAAAACACATCCCCGGCCAATTGATAACTGAGTTAAATGAAAGCACCCTGTATTCATTTCCTAGGAGAATTTGACTAGCATTTTCTTCTCCGGGGAAGAAAAACTCTTTTCCATAACATTAGATGACAAGGTTTAACAAAAGCAGAATGGGAGCTCCACATAGACCTAAACCTTGCATTCCATCACATCTTCACTCTTAAGGAATCTCTGCGCAATGGATGATCAGAAGACAGGCGTTTTACCCTGGAGGCCACCTTCAACAAACTCAAACACAACCCCAGAGGAATGTGGTATTTTCCAGATTAGAATGAAATCCCCATTCTGCTGACCTGACTATTCTTCCAAACATCCAATGTGAATACTTTCCACTATAATTATTTGCCCTGAGACAATTGGAAATAAACAGAGCTTACAGCAAAATACATGTTGGCCATGTTGCCTCCGTCAAGAGCAGCAGCTCTCTTATATTGGTGTGGGATATGGAAAAAGAGATTAGATGCACAAAGTCTCAAGTCTGGCTCAATGAAGATGGGTCATTCCTTTCCATCCAAATTAAATCCAGTTGGTCCAAGAATTTTTGATCACACTTGACCAATTGCGACTGACCAGTTGCAAGCAAGGGAGGTTAGAATATTGAACATTTCTTCTAAAGGAGCCTCCATTCAATAAGAAAAAATCATTGCATTAGCCTCCCATTGGCTTTCCAGTTGAAGATATTTCAAGTATTGTAGGAGACATAAAGTAGGAATAGACAATGGGATTATTTGGTCTTCTGACAGAGTTGTGGAAGTGGCTTGTTGTTTCCTTCTTCCGAGATATCCTTTAAATGTGCAGGTTCAAAAAAAAATGCTTCCCGTGTCTCACTTTCTGAAACTCACCAGCCTTTCCCTCCCAAATGTTATTCACCCCTACAACACAAGTTTCACTTTCTGAGTTTAAGGACAGTTTATTAGCGCCATTCTGAGGCCACCCTGTGATGGCCTCTGCTCGTGGTATTATTTCACATTGAGCTTCGTGTCCTTGTAGTAGAAATAGCTGTCATTAACACACAATTTTTAGTATAAAAAAAGTGTTTGGCTTAAGAGGAAACCTCTTTTCCCTGGGTTGTCCTTGTAATTCAAATTAAACACTTGGCAGTGGTTTTGCATAAAATAAAAACATCTCCAGAAATGAAAAATAGGACTGTGGAAGAAGCAGCAATTAAAACTGAAGCTTTTTCTTCCTCCAGGTAGAGAAATGAATCCTGGATTGCTCCTCTGTTTTTAATATTATAAAAAATTGGAATGCATCTGGCAACTGATAGAAAAACCAAGGTCTGGGGACTCCACCTGGATCCCAAATATGCCCATTCTTTTTCTCTTGTTGTATTTTCTCCCTGCTTTCCATCGCCAATCATTTTAAAAAACTGAAGGTGAAGCCAGTGATTGACCAGGCTAGCTTTTTTGTAGGAGAGTTTTGTCTCTGGAGCACATGAGAGCATCATTAATTCATCCCACATGAGCTATGTGGGTGGGGCAACAAACCAACCTTCTTGGCAATGCTGTTTTCTTCTTGCCTCAATGGACTCCAATGGCCAGGCAGACCACATCAGAATTCTTTAAAGCTGCAACATGCAAGAGGCTACAATTAGAAATGTCATCAGCTCAGATGGTTTAATGGTATGTGGGAAAGACCTTGGGAGAACCTCTCAGGGTCCCAGCCAAGGCCAAATGGTGCCACTCACACATCCTACTCAAGAGTCACATCTGCATTTTAGGCTTAGCGTTCAAAAGGCAGGAAAAGAAGATATCAGGAGCTTGAGGTTCTTCCTTTATCAAGAAAAGAGTACAGACAGCCCAAGAACTAATCATTGTACAAGGCTCTTCCTCAGACATTTTGATTTTGCTCCACCACCAGATACTCAAGATTCCAAGAAGGTATAGAAGGTCAAGAACATCTTTAATGATTGGAACCAAGACACCAAAAGCCAAGAGACCTATTAAGGTACACCAGGGGCTTGAAACTTAACTTACCGGGATTTATGGCCCCAGAGCATAACTGTTCAAAAAATGGTGATTGACCTGCAAATATAATTAACACAAAATGGACCCAGGTATCTTGGAGCAAGATGGAAAAGCATATGGAGAAGATATTCAGCAGGCTTCTTTGCTTGTAAAGTAGTGGTTCTCAATGGTTGTGCTAACTGGTCCCAGCAAAAGGCAATTCACACTGATCCCTGTCTCTCCCGGGAGCATTCACCCAAGCAACATCTTACAGTAACTTGCCTGTTAGCCAGAGATCTTGAGCTGCACCTGTTGGCTTGCTTAGACAAGAGTCTTTCTTTTGGTGGTGCCTTGCTTGTGGATAAATCTAAAACCTTAAAACTACCCTTTAAATCAGGGCATAACTTACTAAATGGGCCCTGCTTAGTAAATTATGCCCTGAT